GGGGAAGCGCGGCCGCAGCGGTGCCCCAACCGAGCTCCGCAGGCCGGGCCTGCGAGGCCTCCTCCCTCCAGACCCGGCCAGCAGAGGAATGTGCGAGTCCTTCAACTCGGGGCACTCCTTCCTCCCCAACTTCTTACTTTGCACGTTAGTGGGGCGGCCACTCTGCCCACTGGTTGTGGGGAGCAGCGGGGAAGGAGGAGGGAAGCACAGCCTGCCCCCCACCCCCACCCCCCCGGGCGATTTGGGGAGGTCAATTTCTGCCTGCATTTTCTTTTCCTGCCCGCTGCGTGCCTGGTCTCCTCTGCAGCCGACCCTCCCCACCCTCGGAGCCTGTGCCCTCGCCTGCCCTCTGGGCTGAGCAGAGGTGGCTGGAGGCAAACGTGGAGGTGATCAGGAAGCTCACGACCACCTGTGCACCGTGGGCGCGTCCAGTGTGGCTGCCTTTGAGTGTGGAAACAAGACAGCGCACTGATAGGGGATGACCTTAGGGGGAGGTGGGGTGCAGGGTGGAGGGGATGGCAGTGCCAGGATTTCACAGCTGGCAGGAACCAGTCTCCTGCCTTGACAGATGAGGTCACCGGCCCTCCCACCTGGTAGTGATAGTGCAGGAAGGGGCCTGAGTCAGCTGGCCTGAGGTGGGCTCAGGTCCCAAGGCCCAGCCAAACCGGGCCTGCAGGCCGAGGTGGGCATCACTGTGAAGAGGCCCGCTAGAACTGTGCCTTGAGACGACAGGATACAGGCCCCCGATGGCGCTGGATGTTGAGGAACACCTTTAGGGGCAGCAGAAGGAATGGATGGTGCCCCAGGGGCTCCGTGCAGACAGGAGTTGACATAGCAGGTCTACTCTCCTTGGGTGGCCCTTGTCTGGCCTTGTGGCGTGTTCCCACACTTCCCTGAATCAACAAGGTGGCTCACCTGCCCCGGCTGTATGCGCCCTGCGGTTGTGTGGGACACACCACGTGCCTAAGTGACCAGCCACAGTGGAGACCCTGGGTGCCAGGTCTCCTACGGCTCTCAGTGCTGTATGTCATTGCTGGGAGTCGTGTGCACCGCCACCCCTCATGGGACTGCTCCGTCTGCCTTTTCCCCTTCTTGCTGTGGGTACAAGTATGTGCTGAGTTCTGAGTTCTTCTCTTGAATCTCCAAATACGGAGGTGGCCCTGGGGAACCCCTGCAGGGAATCCAGAGAGTTCAAAGTGGAGGGTACAGCTGCAATGCCGGGGACTGTTCCCTCAGTTTTTGATGTCGTTATTAAAGATTGCTACTTAATTGAGAGGAGCTTGAGATGGAAACAGGGTAAGTGAAGACTTGTTTTGGGGGTGGAAGCCTGAAGCTGTGTGTAGGCCCAGAGAAGGAGCCTCCAGAGCAGAGCAGGGAGGACGGCAGAGGGGCTGTGGAGTGCGCTGTCCTGGATGGTTCTGATCTATGCCTGCTTTCTAGAAATAACTCTTTTTTAAAGTATTATTTATTTATTCATCTATTATTATTATTTTTCAATTTGACCAAAGAGAGAAAGAGAGAGAGAGAGGGAGGGAGAGAGAGGAAAGGAAAGTGAGAAAACAAGCCACCAGGTTTGGGACTTGAACCGTAGTTGACCATGTGGGAGTCCAGTGCCCTTAAGGCCATGCCATCTGCCGGCCCCTCTAGAAGTAATTCTTAATTGTACCACCTTTCACTTTTAGAAATGTGACAAAAAGACCAGCACATGGTGTAATGGTTATGTCGCTGGACTCCCATGTAGTCAGCCATGGTTCAAGTCTTGGATCAAGTGGCTTAAAACTCATGCTGGGTGTGTGTGTGTGTGCGCGCGCGCGTGTCCGTGCTCAAAACCCTGAGAGGAGAATAGAGGAGAAAGGATTGCAGCATTACAGCATGGCCACCCCCCTGGGGGTGCATTCTGGCTTTCTGTCTCTG